TGGCTATCCTAGGAGGAATACTTGGGTCATCAATTAGTTACTCTTGCAAGAGTATTTGGGTCTTCATTTGGCTACTTTCGCGCCGGGACTTGGCTATTCATTTGACTATCCCAGCAGCGAGTATCCAGCTCCCCACTCGGCTATCCTAAAGGAGTATTTGGCTCCTCGTGTAGCTACTCTAGAGGGTGTGCTTTGGTCCTCATCTGCTCACCTGTAGTAATCTGATGAGGACCCAAGTGTCCTTCATAAGGTAGCCAAATGAAGACCAAAGATATAGACGTAGTTGTTTTTTTAGCGATGGCATAAGCACCATAACTCTAATAAAATTAAAGTTAAAGTATTAAAGTATGTTACTTTAAGCTTTAACATTAATGTTAAAATGTTTTTAAAGTTAAAGTGCCACATCTACTGAGAATTCTTTATCTAACTGTTATTAACTGTTTATCAAATCTCCTTGAGAGCCAAAATCTTCAACAGAAGTTTATAGACGTTAGTCACTTTCATACATTGGTCTTTTTCTAGTGATAAAATTAATATAGCAAAATTCGAGAAACTAATTACAGGTTGAGACTCGTTGACACCGGAGATCTTTCTTTCAAGTTTATGTGAAATGGTTATTTTCGAACAATAGCGTTTCTCTAACGATAAAATCAAAATGGAATGTTATCGTCTTGATATTAAGCACTTCATCACTTAATATTAAGTGAATTAAGTGTTAATAGAAAAACTTAATATTAAGAACTAAGTGTCTACTTAACAATTGATATTAAGTGGTTAAGTGACGCATCTCAACTTTTTGTTACGTATCGATATTAAGCATTAAGTAAATCTCTGAATGAAGTTTCTTAATTAAGGGAAATTAAAAAAAGCCCCATCACTCTACCAACCTGTATAATTGCTAGCACAACAAACTATCATCAAGCCAGTAATAAGCAGCAAAATCATTCGATTTGCCATTCTGTTGCTTCACGACGATTCGAAAAAAAGAATCACACATAAACTAATGAAAAACGATATGCTCTTATATAGTGTCATGTTCCCACTGCCGTATTTTAATTTCCTTCCGTTCTTTTTTCGCCATTAGCATTTTTACAGTGTGCAACTTTCAAGTATAAGTAAATCCAAGAATTATTTAAGCAATAATGACTAACAAAAATGAATAGGATTTCGCTTCACTGAATAGTTTATTTAAAACTTATATCAAAAATGCCTCACAATTTATGAAGAACAAAATTGGAAAAAAAGAAGACTACTAATCATGCAAAAAAAAACAGTTTATTCTTTTGCTATTCCGCGAAAAAATGCCAAAAAAGGAAAAATGCGTATATAAATATATCAGCACTTGGACTCATGATTACACAAGGGTGGGGTATGGGTGGGTGTGGGTGGGGTGTGTGGGTGTTGGTGTTGGTGTGGGTGTGGGTGGGGTGTGTGGGTGTGGGTGGGGTGTGTGGGTGTGGGTGTGGGTGTGAGTGTGGGTGTGTGGGTGTGGGTATGGGTATCGATGGGAGATTGTATGCATGAGATGAATGCCCACACTGTACACCCACACCCACACCCACCTACGTCCACACCCACGCCCACACCCATTCCCACCCCCACCCACACCCACACACTCCAAAAGCTGGCAGTATTATAGGTGACACTTTGTATTTATCGTATATAAAACTCATTGATCCTTCCATGACATTTCTTACAACACTTTTTTCTATACACCGTATGTACAGACAATCCTTGAATTCCTGTCACGCGAGATTAAAAACGACTTTGGCATGTAAAGATGCATCTAAAATTGGTCCGGTTGGTGTTGAATGAAAGCCAATGAAGGAGAGATAAAAGTGGCCAAAGACGATGAAAAAGCTACGCTAGTTTTTGTTAAAATAAAATATGAAATAAAATAAAAAAAAAAAAATAGTTGTCACACTAAATGTCACGCGAGATTTTTTATTTTGTGTGATGTATGACTCTCTTAAGGCATAGCAGATTGAGCTGAGACTTTGAGCATTTTATTCACTCGTTGTGGTCAACTATTGTTCAAAATATCAGGATCAGAAAGTTTGTCTTTCGTACAAAAGTGAAAATATAGTGTAAAAGTGTCACGCGAGATTATTATAAGCATTACAAGATTTAACACGTTCATTAAATAGTGTTGAACGTATACAAGTATCATCAACATATCCACTATTATGTTGAGCAAAAATTGAATCACCTGTTGTTAATCTTCGATGTGCTATTCATAGTGAAACAGTTGTTTATAATGGAATTGTACGTGTTGATGGTGATGATTCATTAACAGTTAATATTTGGGATCCATATAAAAAATGATGTGAATATGATTTATACAATAAACAAAATAGATTATATACAATTATATTTCGACCATTAATTAGTGGAAATCATAAAATTGATATACATATATTTGGTCGTTTTTGATGGTTCACCATTTCTAGCTAATGTGACTAAACATAATAACCCATTATGGTCACTTGGTAAGAATAAATAAAATAAATTAAAAAAAAATAAAGTTTATTTTTTAATTAATTAAAGGTAAACTGGGTCGAGGTGAAAATGAATTATCAATGCCGGTGAGTATTATTGTTGATGATTGTAATGGACAAGAACAAGTGTATATACTTGATCCGGGTAATAGTCGAATTAAATGTCTTAATATTGATGGAAAATTTATTGAACATCTTGCTAAGAAAATTATGTTTTTTATCTCTTTTTAAAGTAAAAATTTCAAAATTTAAGTACGAAACCATCAATTACCTTCGTAATTAACAGAAATGTAGCTTAGACAACATGAATATATTATAGCTGTTAGATTGAGTATACTTTTTTGATGTACAACTGAGATTCTATTCCAAAAAAGGAATGTAATGCATGTAATGATCATCAGTGATGACTGGGTTTTGATACTGCAAGTTGCTCTGAGAAAAAAACTGTTTGAACAGTTCAGAAACTCAGCTATCACTGTAGATTTATCACCGATCCACTAGTTTCGCTAATGGAGTGGCCACCAACGATACCCGAGGTAATGCTCTAATTATGGATCTTCTTCATATAAGTGAAAGATGGTGATGTAAGCCATGGTGTAAATTGACGGTGGTGACTAGAAATTTTCGATGATTTTTTTAAAAATTTTCTTAGTTCGAAAAAATTCTAAATTGGAAGAAGAATATACTTGTATAAGATCAGACAATGATATTTTCGAAAACTGAACCGAAAGTCGAAAGATTTTGTAACTCTAATATCTACTCTCGGATTGCGGTGCCGGTAGCTTAATCGATTGAGCTACACTTCTAGACAAGAAACAGAATTTTTATCGAATTTAGATATTAGAATACATCTTCATCTACTCATATCGAATATTTATTCTCAAAGAAAATAACTTCTTTGGTGAAAAATAATGGAGGTAGCATTCGTAGTTCAACTATCTGAAATTTCCTTCAAATCAAATCGCTAATTTATACATATTGAAAGATTATAACTGTGTGAGTTGAGACACATGCAAACCTTGCTCACTTAATTATTTATAAGTCATTCATGTATGAATTGTAGACTTGGGCGTTTTGAAAAAAACTGAAAGCGAAACTATTGTTTCAAGTAATTTTTGGAAGCCATCGAACTCTATTGAACTGATCCAATAAAATAATTTCAAAGAAAAAACAAATTCGTGTAAAATAAAGGAAATATTTGACAATAATATTTTGAATATATTTACAAGTTGAATTTGTTCAGGCCTTTTATTTATTTGTTGTAAGAAGTTTTATAGGAAGAAATCGGTAGATTACAGGTGATAATTGTTGATAGACATACACAAACAATTGCATTAAATGATAAAGTTAAGAAGAAATTTTAATAAAGGAAAAATTAAACATAGAAGATGATAAATTGCATCAGTTTTAAATTGTTTGTTTGTTTGATGATCTTCATAAATTTATAAAATTCACGATTCACTGTTGCTAAATCAACTAAATCCTTTTTAGATTGTTCACGTGCCCAAATACCATTTTCTTTTGGTCTATGATCAATAAGAATAGAGATTCTTTGATAAGAAATGTTTTTTTTTGGTTTTATTCGTCGAAGTTTCATGTGAAAGAATAGTAAATAACAAGTTTGGATCAATACTCATTATCTAAGAAGTTTGTTTCTCTGTCGATATTTAAATAAATCTTCGTAAAAAAAAAGAATTTTTTATTAAATAATCTGATCTATGCAGACATAAACTATAGGTAATAGAAAAAAAATATTGCTGATTAAGAAGAAAAATGAACGAAAAATTGTTCAAATGATTGAAGATTAATAACTCAACAATAAAAAAAAATTAGTCAGAAAATTTGACGCTAAATAAAGCCTTAAGAAAATTTCTGCTTAAAAAAATCTATTCTGATATATGTGAATAAGGTATTTCAGTTAAAGATAACCTCTTTTGGACGTATCCAATTCATGCGATGTAAAGTTGCTTTTGATTTGATTGTTTAAGAATTGACAGGATCATTGAATAAATAAATCGTATGTTAGTTTGTCAAACAGTTCGTTGTTGTAAATGAGTCAACGTGAATGTTTATTTATTCAAAATAAACTCTTTCTAAACAAAAGTTAATTAGCATATAAAACTATTGTAATGGTAGGCGGTTAAGAATGATAAATCTAGATAGTGTCCTAAAGCCAAATGTGTAATTGATAATAATAGATCCAATAAATGTACGTGCTATCCGAGTCTCGAAGTTTATCAGTATTTCTTAACAAGTTTTCGATATACTGCTGTTGAGTAAGTGTCGTTTGAAGATCTTGATTGACATGATATGAATGGGCACAGCCTTTATTCAGAATCACTTCGGTCGGTTCATCAAAGTGTGTTACAATTGACAAAATGCATGTGGCCAGATTTTCATCAGGACATAGATGAGATCCACTTGTCCATAAACAAGTCAGTCGTGGAATGGATTTTGCCAATATGGATATATCGATCAATTTTGATAAGTCAAGTTTGCCTAAAAACAAATAAAAAATATTATTAGTGATCTACTTCAACAATAAACTAACTAATAAACATTGCTTCTACACTATCGTCATTAAAAAATCAAAGCCTTTCCAGGCAGACAAACTTTTGAGAAAACGTGTTTAAACGCACAGAAATTAGCCTAAAATCCACAAAAAGTGGACGTTTTTGGCTCACACTTGAGGTTCCCGACTGTGAGCCAAAAACGCCCATTTTTCGCCCTTTTTGTGCGTTTAAATGCGTTTTCAGGCAAAAGAACGCGTTTTCAGACACAAAAACGCGTTTACACGCATACAAAAAAAGAAAAAAGTTGTTGTGTTTTTCGAGCTCAAGAAACGTCACTGTAATCATGATTGTGCATCTCGAATATGAAAAACACGACCATTTTTTCTCCTTTTTGTATGCGTGTAAACGCGTTTTCTCAAAAGTTTGTCTGCTTGGGTTATGTTCTTTTGAAAGATGTCACTTTGTTCGTAGAGAAATCAATTCTTACAAATAGTAATCATTCATCTTATGAAATATTACTACTTAGAACATTTTCAAAAATAATCGTTTATCGTTCGAAAATTGATTTCACATTATATAGACGACAATACAACTAATGTCATTTGTAAAGAGTCACTTTTCTTAAGTTCCTACAAGAAATTTATTCAATTTTGAAGTAGGATCGTCTGTAAGCGCCCATAAGACATATAACGAATCTGTTTTCTATTTTAAAAATTTTAAAGTATTCATTCACTATAAGGAAGCCGAATTCAAAGTCTGCTATCATTCAATATACAATATATAAAGAGGTTTCTTCCAATACTTCAATGTACTTTGATAACTTTCACAAAATTCTTTTTCTCAGGAATGTTGGAGCATTCACCTATATTTCTTATCAATTTTGCTTTTCATTCTATAGAACTTCGAATATTTGCTGCTTTTACACAATGAACATCGGTTGACTAATTCACATATAGAAAATCACAGGCAACGAGCACAACTAAGAGTCAAACAGAGATCTATATCATTTATATTATATTGATTTAACTTGCAAATAGTAGAGATAAGTCCCAATTGTTTTATTCAGCTAGGCAATGGATACCATTCTGCATTATCAACTTTAGTTTCGTGCAAGATACAACACCTATCATACAATGCGCTAAATATCTGCAAATCTTCACAAATCATCAAAATTCACTGAAATCTTTTTTTTTAGACAATGTGCTATTAGTTATGTATCCCAATAAGTAATGGACCTCGAACACTTAGTACGCATGCACTTATCAACATTATAACATTTTCAAATGAAGAATATTCAATAGCTCTTAAATTCGTTCATTGTACAGCTCTTTAAGTCTACATTTAAATAGTTGAAATTACATCAGAAAAGTCCAAACATCTGAGCACTAAACGCATTTTGTTGATCATCTGATGGCATTTTATGAATATTGATATGAATATTTATGCAAGGGGAAATCAACAGGCTCCGGATCCGAAACGAACATTTTAAGGCTCTTGGAGTGATGGAGTTCGCTCGAAAATGTTCGAATAGGGTTTTGATTATCGAAACACGATCCAGAGTTTGCGTCGGAGTACGGCAGTATCGCTTGGAGTATAATCGGAGTACTCATGTATCATCTCGAGTACTGGAGTATGACCTCAAATATTTTAGTAGAAATAATCATAAAAAAAATCAGTTTTTTTATTTTATTTGATTATAGTCGATTTTTTTTCATCCATAATAATCAATTTGAATAAAAAGCTAATTTTTTTCTGATTATTTCTATGTAAATTATTCATTAAAACTGTATGATTATAATCGATTAAAAATCACATTTTTTTTTGATTACTGGGGCAATTCTTTTTACATGGGTAGCTGCCGAAAATATGATAACTGAACTGTAAATAACCGAAAAGAATCTGTTGAAGTGTCCTAAGTAGGTTATTGTTAATATGCTCTAATATTCCAGTACCTTTCATCGACTTCAATACTTCACATCATACTCCAGTACTGCGGTCATACTCCAATACCCCAAGCGATATTTCCGTACTCCCAAGCAAACTTCGGGCCGTATTTCGATATTCTAAACCCTATTCGAACATTTTCGGCTGAACTCCATCACTTCAAGAGCCATTTAAAGATTCGTTACAGGTCCGGAGTCTGTTCATTCACCCTTGATCAAACCCGTGAAGTTTAATAATAGCTACGTCTCTTTGCCAATCTACTTCTTAAGCAAGTCTAACTCACTATAGTGTCAATACAGACTACTTGAAATTTCCATGTAATTACATGGATATTTCCGACATTGAGTTACATGTCCTAATCTGCCCGAAAAAACAACACTTTTCCTATTTCTCGGATAATTCAAGTTCTACACATCGTAGAAAAGTAATCGTTTCTTTCCGGGAGAGAGCAAACATTTCGCTATCGATTGATATAAAATTAATTAATCGGTTAGGAGAAGCATGACAATAGAGAGAGAAGGTCAAATTTGATTGAATTTTAGTGTGTTCCTATTTGTGTCGCTTCGTATAGTTAATGTTCGTAATTCTGTCGAATACATATAAAATACGTCGAGCTATCAAAGATAAACTTGTGAGTGGTGCCTCGACTAAAACAGATGATCATCATTTTTAGATGATCTGAAAGGAGGTCTATTGAAAAGGTGCATGCTCGTATGAGATGAGTACAAGTGGATCTTGTCTGACCCATTATTTGACTATATCTATTATTGTATC